TCCCAGCTACTTGGGAGGCAGAGGCAGGAGAATCACTTGAGCCCAGGAGTTGGAGGTTGCTGTGAGCTGTGATGCCATGGCACTCTACCCAAGACAACAGCTTGAGGCTCTGTCTCAAAAAAAATAAAATAAAATTATCATTTAATAGGAGATTCAAGGCCCTTCCATAATAGCTTGATAGCATGTAGTAATGTAAATAAACTATTAGTGATATTTTACTTTTTTTTGCACTAAGTCTTTGCAATTCAGTGTGCATTTTACACTTAAAGCACATTCAGGATGGCTCCTGTGGCTCAGTGGGGAGGGTGCCAGCCCCATATACTGAGGGTGGTGGGTTCAAACCCGGCCCTGGCCAGCTGAAACAGCAATGTGAACTGCAACACACACACACACACACACACAAAGCCGGGCATGGTGGTGCCTGTGGCTCAAGGAGTAGGGCACTGGCTCCATATACCAGGGGTGGTGGGTTCAAGCCCAGCCTGGCCAAAACTGTAAAAAACAACAACAACAACAAAAATGGGTGTTGTGGCAGGCACCTGTGGTCCCAGCTTCTTGGGAGGCTGAGGCAAGAGAATCGCTTAAACCTAAGAGTTGGAGGTTGCTGTGAGCTGTGATGCCACAGTACGCTACTGAGGGCGACAAAGTGAAACTCTGTCTCAAAAAAAAAAAAATTAAACCACATTTCAATTTAATCACATTTCAAGTGTTCAAAGCCACTCGTGTCTAGTAGCTACCATATTGGGCAGCTCAGTCCTAGAGACCGCTGGCTTTCCCTTGAGTTGCCTAGGATCCACCCAGGTAGCCATGGAGTAAGGGACAGACAGCTACGAGGACTTCTGATCCCCTTTCACGGTGGGGGGGGGGGCGGCGGCTGAGGAGCAGGCCTGGCCTTACATACCCTTCCCAAGTCCCTCTGGGATCCCTCTCTGCACCAGTTTTAGCCTGCATGACTGCCTTAGGTGAAGGATCTCACACACGATCTATGCCCCTTGGCCTCTGCTCTGTCCTTGCTCTCTGAGTGCTCGGGAGGGCAGGACAGCACACGTCTAGAGCTGACCTGTTTGTAGCTCCCCCATAGTGGGCCAGTTCTCTTCCAGGCAGGACTCAGCCAATGGCACAAGGACCTGAAGGGGCCCAGATGGGGTATCTCAAAAGAGACTGTCATCCATTCTCACTTTATTCACCCATGCATTGATTCCACACTTGCTGAGTACCTGCTGTGAGGCACTGAGGACTACCTCTTGAGAGACCAGGCCAGTGTGGGAGACAGAATTCAATCAGATAATCACAAGTCAATGTGCAATTACACAATGAGGCTGTGCTGCTGGTGAAAGAGTTTAAATCTCGTGGTTAAGGGAAGTCTCCTCTGCCCTCCCTGAATTCTCTCCAAACTCTTACAAAGTAAGGTCTAGGGCTCCCCCTGCTGCCCTCTGGGCCCCTTAGCAGGGCACCTCTAGCACTGGGCCCTTGGACTGGCAGGTCACAGTTCCAGCCTCCCCTTCTCTGTCCTCCCTGAGGTGCCTACAAACCTGCACCTCCCCCTCCACACAAGCCCATTCTGAAACCCTGGGTAGAGATGCAGAGACCCTGTTGCTGGCTAAACAGACTGTCAGTGAGTAGGAGGGAAGGACTGTCAGACTGAGCAGATAAACATACAGGACACATAGTGAAATCAGGATTTCAGATAAACAACCAGCCGTTCTTTATTATATGTTCCAAATACGGCATCCTGTATTTCTCTGGCACTTCTTTTTTTTTCTTTCTTTTTTTTTTTTTTTTTTTTTTGAGATGGAGCCTCAAGCTATCCCCCTGGGTAGAGTGCCGTGGCCTTACAGCTCACAGCAACCTCCAACTCCTGGGCTCAAGCGAGTCTCCTGCCTCCGCCTCCCAAGTAGCTGGGACCACAGGCGCCCGCCACAACGCCCGGCTATTTTTTGGTTGCAGCCGTCATTGTTGTTTTGGCGGTCCGGGCTGGGGATTCGAACCCGCCACCCTAGGTGTACGTGGCTGGCGCCTTAGCCGGTTGAGCTATAGGCGCCGAGCCTTCTCTGGCACTTCTAATAGGAGGCCTTGTGTCCTTTGCTCCCCTGTGTCCAAGGCAGAGGGCTGATTGCTGATGAGTGATGTCCCTATTTTATAAACCGGAGCAGATCCAAAACTATCTCAACAGCTCCCAACAGTGTGAGGGTAATGGAGAGGGGATAGGAGCCAGTGGCCCAGGGAGCACAGGACCCAGCCTGCACCTGTCTTATCTACACCACAGTCTCCCCTGTATCTCACGTCCCAACACAAGGTTGAGCAGAAGCTCCAAAGTATCCTTGAAGGGAACCTGCTCCCCTGAGCCCACAGCCCACATTTGCTGTCTCAGTTCAACATCTCAAGAGTTCAAGTTGGTGGCAGCAATATTCACCATAGCCAAGAGATGGAGGCAACCTCAACGTCCATT